TTTTTTTATTTTTGAAAGGAGGAGTTAGAGGGGGGGTGGGTCAATTTTATTTCATGCAGGTGTTCTTTTTGAACCTGACGTCTGCCCTATGACACATAACTGCCAGTGCTGGGTTGGCCCTGGCCAATAGCTGGTGTCACCGCTGTTAACTCAGGGACAACGTTATGCATTTCGTTATGCATGGGTTGGTATTCAAATGGCGGGGCACAAAGGAAACCAGAGACGTCGCCATATATCATTATAGGGTATTGAATGTTTATGAACACTCGACAGCCGGCTGGTCAAACAAACCAGACTCGTTACAAAGTGCTGCTGCCCACTTGGCATGCGCTCAGCCCGAATTGAGAATGTTGCTAGTTTTTCACATTTGATTAGCACCAGGAATGCTGTTGGGGGGGGGGGGGGGAGGGGGTTGATACTGTTAATCTTGTTAAACGGCTCAAGTTTTGAATTGAAAGTTATAGTCCTAAAATAACTATTGTGACTATGACAAGTGTGTTTGAATGGTCCGGTCGAGCAAACGAGAAAGCCGAATTACGACATCACACTAAGGTCGTCAAGGTGTACAGCCTAGAGCCATTTCAATGGGGTAGTCTAGGTGTACAGCCTAGAGCCATCACAATGGGGTGGTCTAGGTGTACAGCCTAGAGTCATAATAAGGTGGTCTAGGTGTAGATCCCAGAGTAAATCACAATAAGGTGGTCTAGGTGTACATCCTAGAGTCAATAAGGTGGTCTAGGTGTACAGCCTAGAGTCATCATAATGAGGTAGTCTAGGTGTACAGCCTAGAGTCATCATAATGAGGTAGTCTATAGGTGTACAGCCTAGAGTCGTCATAATGAGGTAGTCTAGGTGTACAGCCTAGAGTCATCTCTTCATCACACTCAGTGACGTATGAAGGGGTGCAGATGGGGCGGTTCACCCCGGGCGGCACTTTTTTCTTTAAATGGAGGGCGGCATTCTCGGTCTAATGCAGAGTTCTTCCGTGGAAAGGGGCGTCACAATTTCTCGGCTCGCCCCGGTTGGTTCTAACCCTTGCGACGCAACTGATCACACTGGTATGGTGCAGGTGAAGTATGAAATTACGTCACCACAATGGGGTTGTCCAGGTGTAGGCGTAGGACCTAGATAACGAAATACGTCATCACTTTGGGGTTGAACAGGTGAGCTCTCAAAATACGCCTGACGCTGGGGTTGTCAGCTGGTGTAGAGCCGAGATATCAAGATAGTTCATAAAATAGAATTTAATGAAATGTGGAGTATTCTGTTTTTAGCTCAACCCTTTTTATCT